CCCAACCCAACCCAACCCATTATTACCCATTTAACCTTAACCCTTATTCTCATCACTTATTCACTATCACCTTCTGTTCTACGATTTCTACAACTAAGCTTCCCCTCCCCTTCTTCTGCCATTCTACCCTTCCTGTCGATAGTCGCCCTACGAAGCCCTTTTTGGTTGGAGTTCTACTTCTTCTTTTTCTTCTTCAAGCTCAAGTTCTCTAGGTGGAGTTAAGTGATGGCGATTTTGATTCCTAGTCGTTTGCTAGTTCTGGTTTTGGTGACACTATCTTTGATCTTGTGTCCTCCTTCTTTGGTTGTGGCGAACAGGTTTCGCTTGTAGTGCTGCTTCATGTTTAGCTCTTATGTTGATTTGGAGTGTGATTTTGCCATTGGTTTGTTGGTATCTCACAGATTTGATGCGTCAAGGTTGAATCAACGGTGTCAGTTATGTTGGTTTTAGTTGTTTTGAATACTGGAAGTAAGTCTAAGTTTTATTTATTTGAGTTTCGGTATGCTTTCATTTCATCCTCTTTTTTCTATAGTTGCATTTGGTTGCTAAAAATCTTTGTGGTGATGAGAAACAAAAAGGAAAGTAACGTTAGAACTTCAGAAATTTGATCCTCTTTCCTTGTTTGGTTGCCTAAAAAATTGAAGATCATGAAAGAAAAAAATTTATTGGCGGGGAATAAGGATCCCCGTAACAATCCCCGTTCCCTGCGGGGAATGGGGATGGGGGGCAAAATTTGCCCCTTGTCAAAAATTCCCGTGGGAATCTCCATTCTTGTGATTCATCAGGACGAGGATAGAGAGGGACTCCCCGACCCTGCGAGGTCCCGTTGATATCCCTAGCGTAATCCTTGTATCAACCCTAGTAATCCCTGTTTTGATACAGTAGCACCCAATAATGGTAGTAAAAGTTAAGAACCAAACTTTTGAAAAAAGGGTAAACAAAGATGTTAATTTTGTTGACTCAATGTACTCCAAGAGGGGGATGAATTGGAGTTCCAAAACTTTTCCCCTTTTTCAACCACAAAACCCAAATTAAGGAGAGTAGAGAAGAAGAG